CAAAAGAATACAGCCAATCAGAGGCCTCAACAAATGCTTACAGTCCTTTTGAAAAGTGCTCTGATTGGCTGTATACGCTCTTACAATCCAATCAAATCGCTACAAGAAAGCTATTGGAGTCAATAGCTTGACATTGTGAAGATGTGTCAAGGTATAAGATGAAGTTTGTAAAAACTTGACATTGTGAAGATGTTTTTCAGCCTACAAACATTTTATCTCAAGACATCAGAGTCGTAGTTGTGTTGTGTCTCTCGTGGGAAATCATAGCGATAAATTACGTTGTGGGCTGTAAGATTCAATCTTTATGCCTTGATAATCAAGATAAATAAACATGTTATATAAAGTTGATAGATTTCGTCTTTCCAAGGTTGCGGACTTTAGACAAATTGAAATGGAGTTTTACGTCGTATTTTTCTGCACCATGTGGGTTTATAAAGACGTACAAGGCCACATACTGTACAATAAATCAGTTTTTTTCAGGACAGCAGAATTAACGTACTCTATTTCAATTTTCAGCTGTCGAGGGATCTTTAACAAGCACATCCTGTTCTACTCAGAGTCTCAGTTTATTGTCCCATCTGAACGACTTGACACTTTTCCATGTCAGCCACTCCGATTAGGAAAGAGGAAATAGGAATTAGATGTTCAAAAATCCCATTTAGTATATTTCTCATGGTTTCTAGCCACATTTTCCAACAAAAGCCCAAATAAGGAAGAAATGTAAATGAATAGAACAGAGTTCGTCTCATCCATCAGTTCAACACATCTGCCAGTATTTTTATAATTAATATATCCAATGAAATTTGTGTTCTACAAGGATAATACTGGTAACTTAGTTACTCTTGCACTTGACGTAAAATTCTCTTCAAGTTCAGTTCGTATATTTTTGGGTTTTGTTGAAATTCTTGGTAGTATTTTTATTTTTGAAAGGTTTATTTAATTTAGAAAGCAATTGGTTTTTTAATATTTGAATTTCAAGAATTAAATATTTCACAATCAAGTTTTTATAATATTTATTGGCTTAGATTCTAGAATAAATACTAATATTATTCTTTTCCACTTTCTGATTTAAATTTTTAAAATTTGAAACGTGTATTAATTGAATCTGACAGCTGACAGCTGATTTGGTTGTTTCATGTGTCTCTGTTCTGATCTAATAAGTTTGAATTCCGAAAAAATAAATAAACAGTTTTATACATTCTTATTTAAAAAATTTATACAATTAACAAGAATATGTCACACGCTATTCATTCATTCATTCATTCATTCATTCATTCATTCATTCATTCATTCAGTCACTCACTCACTCACTCACTCACTCACTCACTCACTCACTCACTCACTCACTCACTCACTCACTCACTCAAAAAATGCAAACTCAGCTAAAATAATGTTTGAATATGAATAGGTTGTACTGAGAAACAATCATTAATTCATCATATAATCTATAAAAATATTAAAATGAGATATTAAATAGTAATATATCATATTATATTGTAGAACAAAAGTTAATTTAAGATTGAAGTCAATATAATGTTCAACATAGAATCAGAAGATATAAAAACTGTGTATTCACCTTCATTTATTATTGATTTTATCATTTATTATCAACTAATAGCTTATTATCATGTCATCACAATAAACTTAGATTCTAGCTACTAGAGCTCTAAACTGTATATACCAGTCATGTCTGACTAGAGCTCTAGACTGTATTTACCAGTCATGTCTGACTAGAGCTCTAGACTGTATTTACCAGTCATGTCTGACTAGAGCTCTAGACTGTATTTACCAGTCATGTCTGACTAGAGCTCTAGACTGTTGATAAGGCTGTATTTACCAGTCATGTCTGACTAGAGCTCTAGACTGTATTTACCAGTCATGTCTGACTAGAGCTCTAGACTGTATTTACCAGTCATGTCTGACTAGAGCTCTAGACTGTATTTACCAGTCATGTCTGACTAGAGCTCTAGACTGTTGATTTGACTGTATTTACCAGTCATGTCTGACTAGAACTCTAAACTGTTGATTTGACTGTATATACCAGTCATGTCTGACTAGAGCTCTAGACTGTATTTACCAGTCATGTCTGACTAGAGCTCTAGACTGTTGATTTGACTGTATTTACCAGTCATGTCTGACTAGAACTCTAAACTGTTGATTTGACTGTATTTACCAGTCATATCTGACTAGAGCTCTAGACTGTTGATTTGACTGTATTTACCAGTCATGTCTGACAAGAACTCTAAAATGTTATATGCCACTGAGACAAGATGGAGTATTATTATTAACAACATGCCTTGTCTAAGAATATCTAGTTTCTGTTACCTGATTCTCCATATCTATACTGTCTAGTCTATAATCTTACATTGTCAATAATTGTCTAGTCTTTAAAGGGATTGTATGTATATCAGATATACTTATAGTTTCTTTACACCATTCCAATATCTCTCTTACTTCTGTTCTTTCTGTAATTTAAAAATTCATTACTATTTCACTAATGTCATGAGGGCTGGGTATCGATTACAAAATTGAGATTGATTATCGATGGCAGAATTTGATAATTGATAATCAAAAGTAATCATTCATAGCGACGATAATCGATTATTTCAATCATTTTATCCAGTCCTAAATGTCATTTAAGCCAAATTGAGTTTTGTGATAATGGCGTCATATTTAGCTAAGTATTTCTGGAATAACAGGATCTCCAGTCGTCAAACGGAATATCAGAATAGTGCCAATATAACCCCAGTGTACAATACACATACTAGAAAATATCTTTACAATCCCTTTAATTTTGTGTCCCCTATTTTCTTATATCTGTACTGTCTACGTATAATCTTACTATGTCAATAACTGTCTGTAAAACTACCGATCTCTTTAATTGGTCTAATAGAATAATCCTCTGACACCAGACAAAGATAAAAGAAAAAATATCTCTATTACGACATAATTTGACCTAATTTTTCCAGACATCTACAAGCTAGGCTCTTGTCCAACTTGTCATGTAGACAAAATAAACTAAGTCAAGTTATGAAAAATCAGTTATTATTCTTTTGTCTTCCTTCTTTCTTTGTTGTCGTTGAATATCTTCTGAGCCGTGTAAGTTAAAATAGTCAAACGGCTGGTACGTCTTGTCTTCCTTTCGAAGCATGGGCTGGTACGTCTTGTCTTCTTTTCGAAGCATGGGCTGGTACGTCTTGTCTTCTTTTCGAAGCATGGGCTGGTACGTCTTGTCTTCTTTTCGAAGCATGGGCTGGTACGTCTTGTCTTCCTTTCGAAGCATGGGCTGGTACGTCTTGTCTTCTTTTCGAAGCATGGGCTGGTACGTCTTGTCTTCTTTTCGAAGCATGGGCTGGTACGCCTTGTCTTCCTTTCGAAGCATGGGCTGGTACGTCTTGTCTTCTTTTCGAAGCATGGGCTGGTACGCCTTGTCTTCTTTTCGAAGCATGGGCTGGTACGTCTCGTCTTCTTTTCGAAGCATGGGCTGGTACGCCTTGTCTTCTTTTCGAAGCATGGGCTGGTACGCCTTGTCTTCTTTTCGAAGCATGGGCTGGTACGTCTTGTCTTCTTTTCGAAGCATGGGCTGGTACGCCTTGTCTTCCTTTCGAAGCATGGGCTGGTACGTCTTGTCTTCTTTTCGAAGCATGGGCTGGTACGCCTTGTCTTCTTTTCGAAGCATGGGCTGGTACGTCTTGTCTTCTTTTCGAAGCATGGGCTGGTACGCCTTGTCTTCTTTTCAAAGCATGGGCTGGTACGTCTTGTCTTCTTTTCGAAGCATGGGCTGGTACGTCTTGTCTTCTTTTCGAAGCATGGGCTGGTACGTCTTGTCTTCTTTTCGAAGCATGGGCTGGTACATCTGTTCTGCCGACGATTGCTGTTTTTTATTCGAATTGTGGCGAAGTACTGACTAATTTTACGTCACATGAATTTTTATTTCCTGAACCTTAAACATGTTTTTGAAAACTTATTTAAACATTTAGAAAAAGAAATTGTTGAGCAACTAGATTAAACCTAATTAACATTGCTTTAAAAAGACAACAAATCTTCAGGGTGTAAAATACACAATCTTTACTTCACCAAAATATTGAAAAAAATAAACTAACGCGTTCTAAAATAAAGCAAATTTTGAAAAAAAGAAATTGGTCAAGGTACTTTAAGAGTTTTTGAAACACTCGTTCTTATGTATTTTTATCTCAAGATATCTCAGTTTATAATTACTATGGTTATTATGTTCTTTCCGTAGTGTTTTCTCAAGATATCTCAGTTTATAATTACTATGGTTATTATGTTCTTTCCGTAGTGTTTTCTCAAGATATCTCAGTTTATAATTACTATGGTTATTATGTTCTTTCCGTAGTGTTTTCTCAAGATATCTCAGTTTATAATTACTATGGTTATTATGTTCTTTCCGTAGTGTTTTCTCAAGATATCTCAGTTTATAATTACTATGGTTATTAATAATCGGCTGTAGAAACTGATATTATATAAAAGTCAAGGTATAATTTTTTTTCTCAAGATATCTCAGTTTATAATTACTATGGTTATTAATAATCGGCTGTAGAAACTGATATTATATAAAAGTCAAGGTATGAGTTTTTATCTCAAGATATCTCAGTTTATAATTACTATGGTTATTAATAATCGGCTGTAGAAACTGATATTATATAAAAGTCAAGGTATAATTTTTTTTCTCAAGATATCTCAGTTTATAATTACTATGGTTATTAATAATCGGCTGTAGAAACTGATATTATATAAAAGTCAAGGTATGAGTTTTTTTCTCAAGATATCTCAGTTTATAATTACTATGGTTATTAATAATCGGCTGTAGAAACTGATATTATATAAAAGTCAAGGTATAATTTTTTTTCTCAAGATATGTCTATTACTATGGTTATTATGTTCTTTCCGTAGTGTTTTCTCAAGATAAGTTAGTCAAGGTATTGTAAGAGGTTTTGAGAGGCACATATAGGCTTATAAAGTAAGAATTCTACGTACAAATGTATTTTACGAAGTTGTACTGTTCTCTCAAGATAACTAGTTCTATAAAAGTCGGTCAAGGTACTATAATAGTTGATAGTAAATATCCCATGATCTGAAATCAATAGTTCACTTTATCAGTAATTATTCTCCGTTATTTTATATTTCAGCTCATATTCCAGCCGAGAGTGTAGAACTGACAGTTTATCATATTACAGAGAGAACCTGTTGGTATCTAACAACCTCTACGTTTATTTACCAATATGATGCTGTGTACTTTATCGCACAGTTCCTAGTGGACAGTATTTACTCTCCGTGTTCTCTACTCGATCTCCATCAAATCTGGGATATTAATCAATCTGTTATCAGTCTACAGGATTTAATAAATTCAGATAAAAAACTTACGACAGCTTTCCGTTCTATTCCTGTAACTTCTGATTGGAATTTATTAGGTCCAATTAAAGGTGAGTTGTTATTACATTTAAATCACATTTTAAAATATCAATATACTCCTGTGTTTATTATACACAAGGTTTTAAAAATTTTGGGATTTGTGTGCCATGATATTACATCATTTGGCTTGTTATTGGTTTGATATTGGCTTAACATTGGTTTGTTATTGGCTTGTTGATAAGTTGATATTGGCTCCATATTTGGCTTGTTATTGGCTTGTTATTGGCTTGTTATTGCCATGTATAAGTTCCAAATAGAATATATGGCACTTAATTTTAACTTGTTGAATTATTGTGACTTGTTATAAGTAGGCTAAGACATAAAATATGGGGACTCAGGATGAGCCAGCCAAAACCTCCCATCATTAAATTTGCTAATGATTATTTTTTATCTTCTAGAAGCAACCAATCAAGAGAGAGAAACTTTGCTTCATTTTTGTGGGCGATTTGGACTTTATTGTTTAGCGGATTACCTGTTAAATAAGCCAGGTGCGGAGGCTTGTGTTCGATTACAAAATAAAGACGGATTTTCTCCAGTTGACGTAGCTGTTAATTGTGGATATCAAAACATTGCTCAACTTTTTACACAGTAAGTTTTTTTTTATTTCTCTGGTGGAACTCGAGGCCACTGTGCACGTTCTCTTTGACACAACAGCTGAAACATATTACAACAAATACGTACATATATCTACCCTGTTTAGGTGAAGTACGTTAGTTAATATTCACATTATATTCAATCTGACCAATCAACATACGTGTTAACATTGATATTATTACGGTTTGTTTTGTATAGATGAATACATGTTACCTCAATCGTTTGAAGAAGGTAATTTTGATTGGATAAAATTCACCACCCGATAACAAGCTATTTGGATAAAGTTACTAATACCTCTGAATTTTCGAGTACCGGTACTAGTGTTAAGGCTAATGAAATGATTTAATTTGTAAGAATCTCTGTTATATTATTTTGGAGGTCAGAGGTTTGTAAGAATCTCTGTTATATTATTTTGGAGGTCAGAGGTTTGTTAGAATCTTTGTTATATTATTTTGGAGGTCAGAGGTTTGTAAGAATCTTTGTTATATTATTTTGGAGGTCAGAGGTTTGTTAGAATCTCTGTTATATTATTTTGGAGGTCAGAGGTTTGTAAGAATCTTTGTTATATTATTTTGGAGGTCAGAGGTTTTTAAGGTGAAGGTTTGTTTGATATGAGTTGAAATCTGATGAAGGTGAAATTGTTTACTTTCTATTGTTTGTTGATTTGTTGTTGTTTATTTATTAGAGATTGGATGTGATATGATTACTTTGGACAACTGTATCATTTGGTTAATAAAATGAATCATAGGTCAAGTGAAATATTTCTTATATCTAGCCTTGATAGATTAATATTACTGAACCCAATAGAACTTTCACTCTTTCAGGTTTATAATTATCTTGTGTTGGCCTTGTGGCATTCCGAATGATTCTAGATTATTTTACTGGCCAAACAATTAAAGAACATTTTATTTGGCTGTATTTGCCACATTATTCTTTAGTCAGTTGGACTATCCATCCTTTACATGTAAATGCTCCAGAATCTCGAGCATTCAACCAATTTTAATAAAACTCGGCACAAGTGTAAGAGTACTCATCTGGATTAGATCTAGCTCTATTTTCCTTGACCTTCCTTATTGGTCATCTTATAAGTTTTTATACTCTATAACATGTCCAAGTTATATTGTTACAATGTTTGATCTTTCTGTTTATAACCAGAAAAGCCAATATTTGATAAGTGACCAGTGGTCAGAAGGATATTGTCGCGTTTGGTCTCAATCATGTGAAATTTACTCTCATGCATTCTGTGAATTATGACATCTTTGATGAACGTACCAAACCTTGACCGGTTTATTTTGACAACATTCTTGTGTGAGTGGACACACATTATAGAGATTTTTACACCACATTGTTTACATTCTCATTCTCATGATAAATGCAGGATTAAGAAAATAGATGTAGGTCTATTGAAGTGAAAACGTATTGAGAAATTGAAGCATTGATTGATTTCGATCTAAATCAATACATAGGTCCATCAAACTAAAATAGTAGTAATATAATGTGTAAGCTTACACCTGTATTATATATTGTAGAGATTTTTAATATACATGACTTTGATTTCTAATAAGATCTCTGTTAGAAGATTCTGGAGATTTTATCATTAACAATATTTTATTCACATATTATGAAAAGTATTGGAGAGAGATTTGGGTTTATTTAACTCCTTTCCTGATACAAAGTGATACAGGTATATTTATATATATTCATTATACAGGCAATTAATTTAATTATAAACATTAATTATTTAATTTTAATCAATTTCAATGTTAATCTAGATTGATACAGGTCTTTCAGGGTAAAAAATAATACAATATCATTATGAGCAAACTGAAATAAATGGATGTCATTTTCAAATCTAATTAATCTAAATAAATATAATACATGAATATGTCTGTCAAGATGTTGCAAAAATAACACAATATCATAATGAGCAATATGGATACTGGTATCAGGTGTTCTATAAAGATGAGGATGTCCTGCCCTGCTTCTAATACTCTCCTAATACTAAAATGTTGTAAAATTTTTAATTCTGACTTTGAAAACATCAGAAAAATCTTGCATCAAGGAAGGAAAGCTTATGATATTTTATACGAATGTTATTAAAAGGTTATAAAAAGGATGGTATTTCTGCGTAAAATATAATGTTATGTTATGTTATGTTATATATTTGGAAACACAATATTTTTTTTTAGCGTAGCATAACTCAAGCAATAAACACCAGTTTTACGTTTACTTTTCTTGTTGTTTAAATCTTTTCAACCAATCAGAATTTGTTGACTCTTTCGCTGCAGTTGTTGACAAACTTTTTCGAAACAATGACGGAAAATCGTTTGAAGAGTTTAAAGAGAGGTATTGTGGGATTGCTACTTTGTGTCAACACAACAACATTCAATGACCCTTGGTCAGAATTTTAAATTTTCTTTTGAGTGAACTCAATGTTCGAAGGATAAATATTCAGAGATTTGTGTTTTTGGAATAATGCAGCCAATTTGTTTCTGCGAAGCTGTTTTCTGAAAGTTGCGTCTGCTTTGAGAATAATTTGTCTGCTGCCAAAATGCGAGTGTTTTGTGTAGTTTTATCAAGGTAAGACATAGTCCGTTTAAGATTGATTTTGGACGAAGTTGGTTCTAGACCACTACTGATCGACCCAAGGAAGGCAAATACACAACTAAGCAAACCAAGTTAGGAATTTTTTAGTTCAGAAAGTATCGAGAATGGCTGTTAAATATTTGAGTTTATTTGAATCAATACGGTATAGTTGTTTATTACCATGGACATTTATACCCATTGTTTAGTGCAGGTTTACTGAGTTCTAAAATTTTCTATGTTCTATGATTAGTTGACTTACTTTAATCATATACTTTAATAAAGAGGGGGGGGGGGGGG